GCCATGCCCCCGGCAGCGGGCAGCAGCTCCCCGTTACCACGGTAACCGGAAGCACTTCCGGCACAACCATAGAGAAGTGCGGCGCTGCGCTCGACGGGAAGGCGGCGCCGGCGGCAGGAGGACCGTGTCCCTTCCCCCCTCCACCCTCGCGGTCCTTTCGCGTTGGCTCTCTCGCGGCGTTTGCCGTGAAAAACACCGAAATAACCAGTGAAATACTAAAATATGAGTTTATTAGGAAGGATTTGCTCCGTTCCCCAGCGGTATACGGTGTAACAAAGCCGCGAAGCGGAGGCCTGGGCCCGCGGGAGCGCTGAGGGGCGACACCGGCTCCCTCCTCACGCGGGCTGGGCGCCCCTAGGCCCTCTGAGGGAGCAGGAGAGGCCACGGAGGCACGGGCTTGGGGTTTTTTTCCCTTTATATTTTGCAGCGAGGAGGCTGCAGAGCTGCCTACCACAGGGGCAGTGGTAGGGCTGATGACCTCGCAGAGAAGAACACAGCAGGTCGCTCCCACAGGACTGGGTTTAGTTTTCGTATTTATCATCATCGTGCTTGCCAACAGCTACCAAGAGTGAAGACACCAGGGACCTGGTTTCCTTTGGGTTGGAGCCTTCCCACAGCCATTGTATGTTCACTTTTGGGGAACATGGACAAAAGAAAGGCCAGCGAGACTCCATCCATCCACTCGCCCAGCCCACTGCACTCCAGGAGAGAAGATGGCTTTCAAAAGCATTTTAATACATGGATGGGAAGTTTCTGTGAGCCAAACTGAAGCCCAAGTAGCCAGTGGCCACCAAATGACAGCATGGAGCTCTGCACCTCCACACAGCCCTGCTCTGTCCTCCCCCTTGCAGGAAAGGCACAGGGAACCAAGCCAGGGTGCAAGTAATTGTCCTGTGTGAGGAAGTTGTAGGGGGAGCTGAAAAGAGGAACAAAACAACATCGCTGAAGGCATCAGTCTTCATCAGTGAGGGAGCTGAAGCGATTCAGGTTCCAGATGCAACTGGTGTTTCGTGTTACTGACCTGCCTGGGATCTGCCTTTGTTCATTCACCCCTTTGCAAATTTATTCCCCTTTGAAGCTGGCAGAGCAGTAGAAAGCGTTGAGGACACCAGCCTGGCGCAAAATACCACAGCAGGA